GTTTAGGGCTGTTGTACATAGGGTCGCTATGAGTCGCAGGCGACTCGACAGCACATAACAACAACAACAACATGAACATTTTAAGGTTTTTTTATTATATCTTCCTTAAAATGGAAATGGACTGTCTGCACTTTGACACCTTGATTCCCCAGACCTCATTCTGTATAGAGGTGATGTGGTCTGAGGCAGCCTGCCTGCCTTGTGAGGTCCTCAATCTGGACTATAGTTGCCTTTCTTCCCATTCATTCCTCTCTTAAGACTTTCTCTTCTGTAATCAGCTGGCAGTTGGGAATGACTATTATCCTGATTCTTGACTGGAAATACTATGTTTGACATTACATCACCCAATTTTGATAAAAACTTTATAAAGAAACAGTATTCAGAGATGGCTAATTAAAGTACTTTGAGTTGATTGGCTATAAATATCTGGAAATTCCTAAAACACAGTGTAAGTGGTTTGAGATCAAACTATAGAGGAAGACCTTCACTTTTTATTTATGCTTCCTTTTTTAGGCTTTCTGGAAAACATCGGTGAGAAATGTTTCTATAGTAAGATTACTTGGCATACTTGTAATTACTTCTAAAAGAATTTTAAATCATTGTAGGTGTACCTTGAAAAACAGAAAGCCCCCTTGACTACTTGAGTACCTTAGACAATCTACTTCTGGTTCATGAATCCTGAGTCTATAGCCATGAAAGCTCCTGAGTCCTCCCAAGTCTCTTCTTGGTACATCAGAGCCCTGTGAGAGCTTCTTCTTATGGGTGGGTAAAGATACTATTTTTACCCTTGAAAAATCACTGGCAATAATGGAGGTGCAAATAAAAACCACAATGAGGAGGGAGCTCTGGTGGCCTAGTGGCAGGAAGCTGCACTGCAATCCTCGAGGTGCACAGTTCAAACCCACCAGATTCTCTGCTGGAGGAGGAGGGACAATTTCCTCCTGTACCAGGCAGATCAGATTTGATGGTACATATACAAAAAATAATAAAATAAAAACCACAATGAGAGATTATCTCACTCCAGTAACAGTTTTTGTTGTTGTTATGTGCCGTCGAGTCACTTGTGACTCAGCAACCCTATGTACAACAGCTCTAAACTCTCCTCTGTCCTGTGCCAATCTCGCTGTCTCAGACGCACTCATCCCGATTGCCCCAGT